TCATGAACAATCATGAAAGTTATTGAGAAATGATAAATAATGAGAACATGATGAAAAGGGTGACAACTGGTGAAAGATTATGGAAGTCTAGAAAAAATTGAGAGATGATGGAAAATTGTGACACATGATGGAAAATGACGCACACTGATGGAAAGAGGTCAAAAATAATGGAAGTGATGAAAAATGACCAAAACCCGCAAATGTTGTAAGTTGCAGTATTCGTAATCGTTCACCAGTAATAACTATAATAATAGCAATGGTAGATAGTAGAGGAAACAAAGAAGCTAGGAAGCCAGGAAGCCACGAAAAGAAGCTAAAAAGCCAAACAAAGAAGTTAGGAAGCCAGGAGGCTTCAAGGCCAGGAGGACAAGAAGCCATACAGCCAGCCAGCCGAGAGGAGGAGGAGTAAAAAGTAAAAGAAAACGCAATATGTGCCGGTGTCGCGGAGCTAGAAAGGCTGTTTATACCGTGTTTGCAGCCCTTCCTGCTCCCAAATACTGTGAACTGCAGTGTGCGGGCGTTTATTTTGTATGATGCTCGTTTATCTGTTATTGATGTCCGTTCATGTTTGTAGTGTTTGTTTGATGTTTGTTTAGTTTTTTTGATGCCTACTCCCCGTCTTTGGGCTCCAGGTATACATCTTCAAAGGTCAGCGCATCCATGCATGACATGATTGTGTGCCAGGTGACCAGGTGTGAGCGCAAATCTGAGCATGTCGGACCCTCGCCCTTCAGCCTCAGAGCCCAGCAAGCTGTCAAGACTGAACGGCATGGGTACCGTATTCGGTGCGTCGAAATGGACTTAGATTGTGAAGCGAGCCCGCATTGACCAGCCCCTCATCATTTGCAGCTGCAGGGGCTGGACAAAGGCAAACAGGCACGGCCTTGGCAAGACAATGAGGCTCCCAGAGTCCAAGTAAAAGCAAGGATAACCTGGTAGGTGCATTGCATGCTCTTTTTTGGCCTGATGGGCGCAGTGCTTTGCCATAGAAGCTTCGGGTTTCAACATATCATTCGATATCATTCGCCTTACATCAAGAAAGGCTGGTGCCTGTTGGGCTCGCCCTCTGGCCGCGTGCCGGCTAGCGCGCTGCTCCGCGACACGCGCGAGTGGTAAACAGACCACGGCACATGGCATCAGGACTTTGCCAAAAGATTGGGCAAGCACAACAAGTCATGAGAAGTTGGATACAAGAAAGTGGAGCTACTGTACAGGCTCCCAATTCACTGCTCAGAATGTTGTCGCCAACCTGCTGCTGAGTCCATACCTGCTGCCACACTTCAGCCAGCTTCTGTCAGCTCAGGCCATATGAGGCGTCCAACGCCAAAGACCCGGACAATTACGCGTGCCAGCACAGACCCAGCCTGATTCTGACTCTCAGCTGCGCTTCTCAAGGGCTGCCAGACGTGCCGCCCTTAGTGCTGCAGCGTCACCAGCGGCTGGGACAGCGCTGGCGCTAGTGCCACCCAACACCTCGGCTGCTTCCAGATGCAGATGACGACCACAGCAACCTGCGACTGAGTTGGCAACTGTTCCGGCTGTTTCACGCCAATCTCCGGCAGCCTTCTTCCAGGCTACGAAGGCTTGTGCAGCATCCTGGCAACAAGTCCAGGCCCTCTTTTGCGTGCGAAGGTCCATCTCACTTTGGCACCATGGCCTCCGGGCTGCGTGCACTTGCCACATCCTTTCGGGCATCGATGCTGTCTGCGGCCTGCCAACAACAACGACGACGACGACGGAACTCAAAGGGAACCTGCAAACCTGAGATCATGCCGGTGCCTTACCATTGGAGTCAACTACGATCAGGCTCGGAATGCCGGAGACACCGAATTGCTTCGAGAGCTTTTCCCTCTCTGCGGCGGCGGAGAAGTCGACGGCCAGCCAGTCCCCGTGCTCGTTGTGGAAGTATTCCTTCAGAGCAAGGCACTGCCAGACAACCGGTATCATCTCTTTCTAAGCCTTACCTGCCTGCGTTTGGCATGTGGCATGATGTGGCACTAGTGCTTGGATGGCCTTGAAGTCAGCTTCTGTCTTATCGGCTGAGACAAAGATGATCTCAACCTCCTGGCCGCCTTCCTTCAAGGATTCGTAGAACCTAAGCCGTTGCACCTCCTGGCATCTGCAGTGCTCAGTGCAGCTGTTTGCAGCTGCAGGGCTGTTTCAGAGCCGGCGTGAACGCACGACACGGAGGGCACCAGTGGGCACCTGCCGGTTCAACGTGAGCGGGACGGTGCTTACCCAAGAGCGAACACAGCGAACGCCGAGACGGGCACTGAAGTAAAGCCTAAGATGACTTTTTGCTGGCAATGTCCAAATGAGCCGAGCAAGTAGTAGCTATAAAAATCAAACGCCGGCGTTACAGCCACAGCTGTACAGCTAGCCAAGATTCGCCACGACTTTGCCGGAGATGTCTCCCTTGGAGCCGTCCTTCTTTATTTCATGACTCATGACATTTTCTTGTTTCTGGTTTTGTCCTTTTGTGCTCTTGATCGCAGAAACAAGGAAGGGCCCAGACTATTACTGCAGAATCCGTTCCATGCTGTCTTACTCCCAAGCCAGGAAAAGAATCCAATCCAAACAAAGGCTGTCCTTCTTGACCAGAGGCAAGCTTGCAAGCGAGGCCATTGTCGCCAGGACAAGCTAAGCTGAGATTAGGAGTTTTGAGCCGAGACTCCAAGGTCCAAAACTATAGGGATAGGGATTATATAGAGGTTATATAGGGGTTGCATAGGGGGTTACATAGGGATTATGGAGTATATTGGAATTATATAGGAATTATGTAGAAACGGAAATGGGAACCAGTAGCCTAATGGGTTTGGGGATGGATCTGCCAGATCTGCCCTGGCTTCCAAGGGCCAGGCTCTGGGCCAAGGCCTGCGGCAGCCACCGAAACCAGCGGATGCGTCTCCAGCGCCTAGGATCTTCTGAGCAACCCATTATAATAGTAGTTTCCATTTTCTTTTCCACTATCCCTATATAATCCCTATCCCTATAGTTTTGGACCTTGGATTCGGCACTTGTGGCTTTGATGTGACCCATAGCCATAGACAGCGGAGAACTGTTGCCAAGACAAGCGCTTCAACTGTGCCCTACATGGGGAGTCCAAAACTCAGCATCTTGCAGCCTCGATCTCCCCCAGTTCGATCCTGAAGCCTCGGAACTTCACCTGCACATTCTGTAGCTAACTCCATGAAGCCTGTCTCAGGATGATGACGCTCGACACTCGGCCTGCTGGTCCAGGCGGCCCAGGAATTCTAGGCCAGCCCCTGGAAGGAAATTTTGGAGCTCAGACGTGCAAGCAAACTTCCCGGCCTTGGTCCAAGACTCGAACAAGGTCACCAGTTCGATAGACCTCTCTGTGAGGCAAAGATGTTTCCTGCAGTGCGTCGAACAACGTGCTGTGCAGTCAAGCTGCCGTGCCAGTGCTGTCTGGCACGAAACTCGCAGCTGTTAGCTCGGGTCTGCGATGATAGCCAACTGCAACGCCCGTTCCTCCCACCTGAACAGCGCAGATATGCGAATTGAAAGCTACAGCCCATCTTTGTGACCATGCCACCAGCAATTCGCCGGCAGCATTGGTGAAATTGTGCTCTGCGGCCTGAACCCAGCAGCAACTTGTGGCAGCAGGAAATTCTGGGCCGGGGCAGCCTGATCTTCCAAGATCTGCAACACGACGTTGGCAAGCGGCAGGCCGATGGGGACAGATGAGACCGCTCGACCTCAACTAGAGAAGTTCTTCGCGCAGCCAGCTCCAGATTTCATTCTGCCAAGCTGCTAGGACCTACCAGATGTGTGGTGGTCCAGATCGTGGCCTCCTACACAGTTCTCTCACGGCGAGCCAAACAGTCCACTCTTCTGTGAGGCTGTCGGACAGTCCGTCGGGCCGTAGGCGTTCCAAAGGCCGGCTTTTGCCGCCTGGTTCAATGGCTTCACCAGGCTCGGAGGGAATGCCTGCCACCCATGCCACATGCACCACACGGCAGCAATGCACCAGCGTCAACGCACCTCACCACCGCAGATGCCAGCAAGGCCTACCAGCATTCCCTTTTGGTCCTCATTTCAGCATATTACGCATGATCTTGTTCGCTGCGCCGGCCTTCATGGCCGTCCCAACCCGCAGCAATCAAAGATCGCCACAAGGCAGGCGTGCCTTGCAGCACGTCCGCGCCCTGTCATAGAACAGAAGCATTGAATCATTGGTAAGAAACGAGCCTGACATGCTGAGCACATGCACATAAAGTGTAGGCAGTACCTGGCGTTGAAGCAGTTGCGCCAGCTTTGCTCCGTTCCGCGCTGTGCTGGCCTGTGCATGCTTGCGCGATAGAACACTGGGGGCCCCACCCATTGCAAAAGGGGGGGAGTGCTGTGTGCAACTCAGTCACGGAAGCAATAAACAAGGAAAATCCGAAGCACAAGGGCCAGAAAATCTCCAGCACAGAGATATCAAAACCTCTGCAGCTGGGTGAGAAATCAGATGCACATCTCATTTTTACCAACCACACATTTTGCAGTCCGAGGCCATGTGAGGCCCTGGCAGTAGGTGGTTGAAGCAACCAATATTCGGCCCCCGCACTCTGAGTTGGAGATGCGCTGCGTGTCCGGTTTTCGAACCAGCACATCAAATGCGTGAAGCACATTCCTGGAGACTGGAGAACTATGGAAAACTCCTTATGGCACACAGTACGTTGTGGCTAGATACATCAGAACAGTTGAGGCTCAAAACGCTTCGACGTCGCACCAAGACACCTGCTCGCAGATGCCAACAAACTGGCGAACGGCTCTGCCCGCTTTCAAGTCAGCGACCCTTTGGCGTTCCAGTGCTGCCCGAAGTGTACCTGCACGGCAGGAAGGTTTTCAAGTCGAGCTATCTTAAGAAGAAAATCATCTGACTGTGGCCGTGCATGGCTATGCCGTGGCTATGCCGTGCTGTCTGTCTTGCGGCTGAGTGGCATTAAGTAGGCTGGACGCTCTAAGTCGCCACTGACATCTCCCACCATGTCTTGGCCGTCGGGAGGCGTTGCATTCAGCAGTTGACCTTCTAGCGGTCAAACAACACCCTAGTCAAACTGACAAAGGAAAGGGCAAAGCTCATGCATATTCAGCCTTGAAACCGTCCATGGCAGTGACCCTGACAAGCCGGTCCTCTGGAAGCAGGCCACGCCGCCGAGCACACCAGCAGGTCACAAGGTAGCGAGCCATGGAATCATCCAGCAAGAACCGCAATCGGGCTCCAGGATGCGTGGGCTCCAGGGGCAAATAGGCTGCACCCGCAGCAAGAACTCCCAACAAAGCTACAACCATCGCAGGCGTCCGTTGCAAGCACACGGCCACAATATCATTGCGCAAGCTCTCCTCGCAAGGCCTGGCACATAGCCTGCGGAGCTCCTGCTCCAAAGCCCGAACCCTCTGCACGAGCTCTTCGTAGGTCAGTGTTGTGCGGTGTTGTGTCAGGCGATCCTTCGGGAGGCACAACAAGGTAGGCCGCTGTCGCTAGAACAAGCAAAGCACACGCAGGCGTGAGCCGGAAGCCACCGAACCCAGGTCCTCTAGGCCCAGCTCCGCCGAGTCAGCGGGCACTGCATCTGCCTCGCACTGAACTGCCACGGCCGCCTTCTTGGAAGCTGCCACTGCCACCACCAGCTCTGGAATGTCACGGTACAGTTCATCGAAACATCGCGTAGGCCCAAATAGCGTGCAGGGCATGAAGCATAGGATGATTGCACAGAAAACGTGTCTGTAGAGATGCTGCAAGATGAGGTCTGCTCTGTTCGGAAATATCTAACATTCTAAAAGGCTGTGCCCATCAGTCGTCACATCATCTACAGAGTCTACACCATATGCAGCCCCAAGATCCTAGGATCATATGTGCCCAGTGGATTATATGTGCCCAGTGCATTCCTGTTGCAGGCAGAAATCTCCGCCAACACTCTCCGTTCTTGGGGAGGGGACTCTAGAAGCAAACTCCTGCCCGACAGAATGTACAACTCTCGCTTGGAGTCTCCGACCCGTGTACACAGCCATCCGCACCATTTTGCCGTTCAAGCCGTCTAGACATTTGCTGCTCCGATGCTGAGTCCTGAGCAGCCCTACCCACAGCTCAGCGCAATTTCGCAGGTGTGAATACCAATTTCATCTGTTCTGGCAAATCGTTAGCCTCAGCTGCCCGCCCCGCCTTCTCTTTGACGAAGTCAAAAAAACCCATGAAGCAATTCTACGAGATCTTCGGGGCACAGAGACCCCATGTGTCGAACTTCAAAGGCATGTCTTATGATAACTGAACATTTCCCTCAACAACATGAAAGTGTTGATCGAAATTTCCTTTGAGCGTCGGAGATTTGGAGGGCAGATTGCTTCGCACGGAGCTGGTGTAGAACGTCCTCCTCCTTTGGCGTCAGAGCACTGATGAGACCTGAATGACTCTTGATCTGGGAAGTGTTCGAAGACCCTGCAGGGTAGCCAACTCTTTCCATGTAGGCCCTGCAGTTAGCATCGTTTTCGATCTGGCTCAGCTCAGCAGTTGTGAGGGAAGTTACCCACGATGGCGGAAGCAGCTCGTCTTTTGCTCGCTGTCCATCTTTTCCTACCGGCAGGAACTGTTGCAAGTCTGCATCAAGGAGTCGTGCGATTTGGCCGGCAAATTGAGCTGTGTTGAGTGTCCAGCGCTCATAAATCCCAATCAACAAGCGTGGGCCAACAGCGGAGGCCAGTTCTGGCAGAGTCAGAGCTTGTAGCGCCAAGAGCTCACAAATCAAGGGAATGGAATGAATGGCCCAGCCAACGAAAGGCTTGGTGGAAGACCACACTCCACGTGGGTCGCGCAACAGCACAACAAATCTTGCTGAGGCCAAGTAGTTGGGCGGAACGGCTCTTACCAAGGCCCCATGATCCACGACGCGGGTGGTCTTGATAACCAGGTAAGGCCTGCTGCTGGATGTACCGTCCACTTCTTTACAGTAGTCCTGCAAATTTGAATATGAACCACTGTTGACAGCACCGACTGTGCAATTATGACAATCGTAGAGGCACTGCAGAGCTGAATCTGAACGATGTGCTGACATCGAGATTATGCTGTGACCTTCCACGAGCCCACCCAACGGCTCATGGATTGTCGGATGAGACCCGTTTACAGAAACTAAGTCCCGAACAAAGCAAGACGCCTCGCGGCCCATAGACAAAATGTGCACGATGTCAACAGCCTTTCCTGTGAAACGCGTCTTCAACTGCAATAAACAGCCGGCTTCCGAGACAGCATGCCCAGCTACGTGCTGGAGAAGGACGAGGAAAGGCCATAAGCGTGCCATCAGTAAAAGTTAGTAACATGTGGCGTAAGAATTCACTATTCGGATCTGAGCCAAAAAACCATCAAAGTCTTAGAACGCAGGCCATCGCCAACCGACAGCTTGCATCGTGAAGAAAGCCGCTTTCTGAGGCCCATACCAGCAGGCCGGATTTCCACCTGGCAACGGTGGTCTGCATGTCCTGTGCCCCTGGAGAAGAGATGACAAAGGTGATTTCCGCAATCCAAAGCCAAGGGATGCCAAGGGAAAATGTTTTTGGGGCCTCAAGAAAACTCCAGCCTTCGACGACCGGTGCTCGCTGCTGCACCACCTTGCCACCAATGCACAGGAACCGTTCAATTGACTGCTGGCCACTACGTGGCGCTCAAGTCAAACTGGAAAAAGGGCTATGGCCCCCGCTTCAGGAAGCTGTCGGACTTCTTCCTGAACCTCCGAGCAAGCATCCCGCAAGATGCTTGGCGCTAAGCATGGCATACATAGCTAAGCCAAGCAAACGGCACCTCGCGGTAGATGAGCCGTACTGAATAGGTCCTGTTTAGTCAGACTGCGTTAAGCCTTGGGCAAGCCAAGGTCTTGTCTGCAAATGGCTCACCCGACACACTCCTTCTTTCAAGACCGGTCCAGTCTATGTGCGGATCCTCCCAGAAAATTCTTTCCCGTTGTCAACGAAACTCAGCACGAACGCCTTCCGAGCGGACGTCTCTGGATCCAAGCGTCGTTTGACCTTGATTCTTAGGTGTTGCTTCGGCTTTTGCTGTGGTTTTTTCTGCATTGCGCGCCAAACAGGCCAGAATAACGAAGAGCTCCACCGCATCGGGCAGTCCATCAGAGCTGCGGACCCATGCCACCTATCAACGAAGAGGCTGGGCACGGCAATGCGACGTCAAATAGCCAGCTGCTGCTGGCCAATGCTTGCACGGTCACTTTTTGCCATGCCCGGGGCTAAGGCCGCATTTTCTGCAAAGAAACATTGCAAAAGAGCCGTCAGCGAAGCATAAACACCTTCTCCATTTCAGCCTCCATTTCAGGTGATATGGAATTAAAGCCCAGCTGGACATCCTGCAGCCTCTTGTTCTGCTGCACTGCATCCAGCAATGCTCGGCCTCCAACGTCGTCGATGCGATTGCTCGTCAGCTCCACGACCATTACCTCTGACTGCGCCAAGCCCTTTGCAAGTGATTGCGCGCCCAGAGAGCTGATGCCGCAGCCGTTCATAGATAAGCGCAAGATCGGCTGCCCCTTTTCCAGTAGCGCTGCAATGTGAGCAGCGCCTACGTCCCCGATCGGAGACATTGACACGTTCAAATGTGTTACTGTCTTGTTCTTCTCCAGGCACTGGCAGAGATATTGGATGTCATCAGGACCAAAGTCTACCCCTTGAGCGCCATCCCCAAGCATTCCCGGCGATGGCAGCATCAGGGTATCCAGGGACTCGTCATCCGCTTTTATCAGGGGTAACACATCCTTCATCGAACCCAGGGGCACTTTCGGCGGCCAGGGCTTCGGAAAGACTGCCTTGCCTGCTTTGGGCTTTGCCAGCGTCTTTCCGGCTGGTTTGGGTGCCATCGCGGAACCCTATGATATCGGCTAGTTCTTGAATGCCTGCTGGTGGTCAGTGCTGTTCTGTAGTTTCTTCACCTATGGCTTATATGAACGACTCAACTCATCCAGCTCTTGCAAGGAAACGCGCAAAGCGGACTTGGCTTAAATCCTGCACATCTGTACCAACAAGCAGGCCGCAGCATCCCTTGCCTCTGCAGAGCTCGACTCATCATACGGTAAGGGTTCAGAACCTGTTTAATCCTTAAACCACGCCCACTTCATTGCAATCACTTGCAAGCGACCTCCACGGGATGACCATCCAAGGCAGTCTGCATAGCCAAGCCTTCAAACAAGTTGACAAAAGTGCCCAAGATCTTCAAAAGGATTCTTTGAACATGGCAGGCAATGGTCACCTTTGCTCCAATAGCCTCCGGCCCGCAATGCCCGCAGACTTGTCATGTTGCCATCTCCGAGGCTTTGCCTCTGCTGCCTTGCAACAAAGAAGGCGTCACTCACATCACTTGGAGCTTTCAACTCTGGCGTGATGGTGTCCGACCAGCTGCCGATTGCATGCCTCGCTCGTGTCGTCTTGCCGCAGGCTTAGCTCCAACTGCAAATGCCGTCACCGTGGTCTCATGGTGTACATGACCTTGCCGCCATCACCCTTTCCTGCTTCATGGGTCAGCACGGCAAGGGTCCGAGACGTCCCCGCCCGCCGTCTCCATCCTCCTCACTGCCCTCCTCAGAGCCGCTCCACTTTCTCCACTTTGCATGTTTCGTCAAGGGGCCCATGGCCTGGAAGCCTTGACTCAACACCTCACGCTGACCAGGCGCTTCATCCAGGGCGGCTTCTGTGATCTTCATGTTCATTCCCCTGCCAACTGGCTTGGTTCTGAAGCTCAAGCTGCGATGGACTTTCCATCGCTGCCCTCACTGCGGCGGGTGGCGGAGGAATGCCCTGCTTCAGGGTCAAGCACAGACAGCTACTGCTCAGGCCCATAATGACTAGCAGGATGACATTGACAATAATGATGGCTTGCGTCAGACTGCCTTTTGCCCGACAAATCGCCATCAGAGTTGCATAGTGGGCCCAAGGAGCCAGAGCTCGGTATCCAGAAGGGGAAAACACCGATCCATGCATGGGTGGGGATTGGCTCCAAACATACGTAACCCTCTCCAGCTGGAGCCTGCTTCGAAGTATAACTGGGCCCTCTGAGTCGATAGCACTTTGCAAGGTTGTGCCAACCACATGCTCCAAGTTTGGCCATGCCTCCATGACCTTCCGACCAGACAAGTGAAGCACGCTGCCCGCTGCAAGGGATCTCTGCTTGCTGGCAGTCTCCACGTGCCTGCGTGGCCCGTGCAGGCTACTCAACAGTGACACAACTTCGAAAGCAAACCGACTATGCAAACTGGCATCATCTTTTTTTGGAAGCTGGTCAAAACAGCTCCCAGCACGTTCGTCAGCCCTCGCCTGGCCATCTCATTGGCCATGAAGACGTAGATCAGGGCCGGGATGCTCAAGACTATGAAGTCCTCCGCGGAGTCCAGGTGTTGTGTGGCAAAGTGCGGGAATGAGAGGTACATAGCGTTCAGTGCCTCAGATCTGAAATCTCTCAGGCGACAGCATCTGGGAGATTAAGATGCATACCAAAAGAACGCAACCCGTCAAGGCTTCCATGGGCGAAACCGCAAGCCTCGCCATCAAAATTTCAAACAATCAGGACTTGCCCACAACAGCTGGGATGTAATGACAATAGAAACAATAGTTGCTCCCAGTGATGTTCATCAATAGGCTCGACAGCCGTTCTGCGTGCGGAGGGCTTCAAGAAGTGTTCCAGCTTGCCAGCTTGCAGAATCATTACTTTCGGCTGCAGAAGCGGAAAAAGTCAAGATTGTGCAAACGTGTGCCTATATAGGCACTGCGCACCTTGTAAACTAGAACCTTTCCTCGCCAACAGCAGAAGACTTGGAAACTTTTGCAGGGCTCAGGTTTAAGAATCTGCCCAAGCAAAGCAGCAGCTTGGGGTGTAGAAGTTCTCAAAGTTCAAGCGACTCAATGCCACCATCATCCTATCACTCATAGGAGGTGTCCATAATGGATGTTGTATATTATGCTCGACATCTGAGACTGAGAGACCTCAAGCTCGTAGCAATAAGTGTGCGAATGTCTCATGGCAGGAACCCGGCATACTCTAGACAGCTCTAGACCACGAGGTCGGCTTCGTTGCCTCCCCAAATGCGCGCTTTTCCTTTCTTGAAATCTTGAAAGGCAAACAATCATATTCAATTCCGACGCTTAACATTGTGGGATTCTTTCAAACGAGCGTTGCACGCACCTGCAAAGTTGTGTGGTCTTGTTTGAAACTTTGTGCGGCTCTCGCCTGAGCTCTCTCCATAGAACTTGAGCAACTTGTGCAACTTGAAACTTGCTGCCTTGCAAAACTGGCCCAAGTCTACTAGCTTTAACAACGCCTACCGGTCTACCGTGGCACCCCCTGAATTGGAAAAAAGAGCCGATGACTGCACGGACAAGTTTTTGTATGCAAGCTAGCGGAGCTGAACAGAAATTCGTGCGGAAGCTACAAGAGCACTGTGTATTAAAGATCCAGGGTAGGATCTC